GCTCACTTAGGTTGGAAGTCAGTGGGCAGCCAAGGTCACCATCACAGAAGCAGCCCAGCTGAACTGGAGGAAACTACAAGTCATAGATCATAGAGAAGGCCAAATCTCAGCAATCAGTAGCATGGGGCTGTGGAGAGGAACCCACTGGGGTCTGGAAAGAGGGAGAAGGCCTGTAAGTGAGGCCTCAGGGAGTCACCCAGTTGTAAAGGGCAGCAGCTTAAACTGCTGCTGCAAGAGTATCCCAGACTGGAGACCCAGCAGTCTCAGAGGAGGGTCATCATGGCAGGCCCTGGAGGAGGGGCTGTCTCTGTGTGTAATGGGATAGCAGCCTGAAAAGGATTTTCTGTCCTTCAAGGGATTGTTAACTATACATCAGAGCATCTCTCCTGTGAATCTGTGGGACTGCCAGCGTGGCCAGCAGGGCAGGACAACTATGGAGAGGCCCCACTGAGAGGCGAGCATGGTATGCAGCAGGCTGCTTCGGAGAATGATTCCTGTCAGACTCCCTCACCACCCCTCCAGGTTTAGGAATTCTTGTTTTCCCAAACTCTACGCTTATGTTCCTTTGTCCTGTTCAACCTCTTGTTATTTCACATCCTTCCTCCTCCTTCCCCATCTGGGTAATCACTGCTGGACATTTGTCAGTGTCAGTACCATGCCATTGATCACAGGCCCTCGTCACCTGCGCCACCGTCCACCTGTGACACCCCATGCATCACCTCCCTGTGAAAGGCTGGCATTGGAACTGTTAAACACCACTTTGCCCATTGTCAACCTGCAGAATCCCACTGGGAGGCTGCTGTGCACACTTATCTCTGTGCAACCAGGCTCTGCCCTTGCCCCGGCTCTAAAGAAATGCTAATTTCCCCAGCAGAATTGCCAAGGGGAGTTGGATTCAATTCCATCTCCCACGGAGTATGTACACTCTCCTTCACCTTTCCTCTCTCTCACTCCATGCCTACATCTCCCCAAGCAAAGCATGCCAGCTCTGCCAAAAAACCCAGCACTACGAGAACATTTCTCCCCACTTAGCCCTCTGAGCTACCTTTCCTCTTTCTTACCAGGCGCGGTTACCTTTCAGCTCAGCACAATGCTGACAATCCCTACAAGCCACTAACATCAATAGCAGGACTCGCATTGACTTCAGCTGGAGCAGGACTACCTCCCCCCCCCACCCCACGCTTAAGAGTCTCTAACTGCTAGTAAAGGATTTTCCTCCTCCCAATAGCATAGATAATCCGACCCTCCCAAGTCGCTCCAGATCGAGCAGTGTGTCTAATCTAACCCTTGGCATTTACATGGTACTCAATCACTATAGAGTCTAGGCACAAGATGGAAAAGGCAACCAATTTGTAAAGAAGTATGGTGTACTTCATTACGTGTGCGTAGTTCACGGTGTACTTCATTATATGGACCAGCCCAGATATGAATTAGTAACCCTAACCCAAGGACCAGCCCTGAATGGTCTCCTAGACAAGGACGGATTCAATTTAGTTCCTGATAACACCTTCCATACCCATGGCCTCCCACAGAGCTTTGATGTACATATACTCCCATGGCAGGGACTGCACAGCCAGCAGAGACAGAAGGAAGGAGAGTTCAACATCTCAGCTCGCCATAATTCAGCCATGTCAGCATTAGGGTTGACTGTCCATGTCGCAGAGCCTCTTTCTGAAAAGCTGTCCAGGTGAGCAACATATACCAGGAAGGGATGGAGGGAGAGCCAGATGCTGCAGGAAGAGAAAAAAATGACACTTTCCTACACCTACTGATTCCTATTTTTCATGGTCATTCTTGTCTCCACAGAGAGGGGAGGGGAGATTGAGTCAGCCTGCATACATCTGCAGAGACCGGTCACCACAGCTGCTGGTGCTACTTCCACAGAGCAGCCAGCAGAGGGTGTTCGAAGGTTATGTCTACACTGGTGACTCTCCGTGTGTCCAGGCCGGGGTGGGCAAACTTTTTGGCCTGAGGGCCACACTGGGTTTCTGAAATTGTATGGAGGGCCTGTTAGGAGAGGCTATGTCTCCGCAGACAGCCAGGCATGGCCCAGCCCCTGCCCCGTATCCAACCCCCCCCTGCTTCTCGCCCCCTGACGGCCCCCCCCGAGGACTCCTGCCCCAACCAACCCACCCTGCCCCATCCACCCTCGCTCCCTGTCCCCTGACTGCCCCCGGACTCCCCGCCCCTGACTGCCCCCCCACCGCTCCATCCAATCCCTCCTCTCATTCTCATTCTTGTCCCGCCGGGACCCCGGCCCCCATTCAACCCCCCTCTGATCGCCCCGCCTCCTATCCACATCCCCGCCCCCTGACCACCACCCCAAACTCCCCTGCCCTCTGTCCAACCCCGCCCCTGCTCCCTGCCTCCTTACCGTGCTGCCTGGAGCACCGGTGGCTGGCGGTGCTACAGCTATGCCACCCAGAGCACCAGGACAGGCAGCCGCGCCACCCGGCTGGAGCCAGCCACGCCACCGCGCAGCACAGAGCACCGGGTCAGGCTGCGGCTCTGCAGCTGCGCTGCCCGACAAGAGCTCGCAGCCCCCCACCCAAAGCATTGCACTGGTGGCACAGTGAGCTGAGGCTGTGGGGGAGGGGGCTAGCCTCCCGGGCCAGGAACTCAGAGGCCGGGCAGGAGGGTCCCGCGGGCTGGATGTGGCCCACGGGCCGTAGTTTGCCCACCCGTGGTCCAGGCCCTCGGTTGTGCTCAACAAAATCCTGTGGTCCACCCTGAAAGCCATATAGCACATGTCACAGAGCAAGCAGATGCAGAGCCATCTAGCATGCCTAAGGGGTGTCGGTAAGGGCTGAGGCTTGGCTCTGTACCCAGCCTGCTTTGCAATGTGGATGTGGGTAAGCAGCAGGTACCACATCTCAAGTTTCACTACCTTTCCATTCCCCCAGCATGCAGTTGTTGTCGTGTACTGCACATCTCGCTAGATTTCTGCTGCAGGCTGCAAAGTTTGCTACTACAGGGGATAATGGCAACAGCTCAGTGAGCAGCTAGCCCGCCCTAAGCGCATACCCGGATTTTAATAAATATCTGGGTGGAGTACAGCGGCCAGCACAACTTCATGAGGAGCAGCAGGAACACGCACCTGTACAGGCAAATATCCAGCAGGCTGGAGGAGTTGGACATTCAGGGTACTGACATTCAGTGAAGGGAGCAAATGCAGCACCCGAAGTATCTGTACAGGAAGGCCTGAGATTCCAACACCCAGTCCGAGAATGCACCTGCCACATGCCCGTTCTAGGAGGAATCTGACTGTACAAGGCCCCCAATATGGAGCCTACTATCGCTCATGATGGGCTGCCGAACACTGCTGGGTCCGAAGGGACAGCGACAAGGCTGCTGATGCAGCTGGGACCATCAAGGACACCCTTGAATACCAGGAGGAAGGGATTCTGCAATTGTACTCAGAGGACTAGGTTGCAGAAACCCTTGAGGAGGACCCTGAAGATGGACTGGAACCAGAACCCCAGGCTGGTAAGTTAAAATGCCCCCCTCCCCAATACCTCCCTTTGTGTAGAGAAAAACATCCACTTTCCAGATCAACGGCATTTGAATCATAGAATCATAGAATATCAAGGTTGGAAGGAACCTAAGGAGGTCATCTAGTCCAACCCCCTGATCATCCCAGCCAGGGCTTTGTCAAGCTGGGCCTTAAAAACCTCTAAGGATGGAGATTCCACCACCTCCCTAGGTAACCCATTCCAGTGCTTCACCACCCTCCTAGTGAAAAAGCCCATCTCTGCAGAAAGTGGGGCATTTCTGTTGCTCCCATCGCATTTTTTCCACAAGAACGAAAAGCCGTATGACGGAAGTTGGGTGGTCTTATGACCAAGACAGGCCAGGAGGCAGGAGTCCTGCGATCTGTTCCTGACTCTTTTACTCACCCTCTGTATGACCTCCACCAACCACAGCACCTCTGTGTCTCAGTTTCCCCATATATGCAAAAGACAGATACTACTTCCCTTCCTCTCAGGGCCACTGAGGCTTAATTCATTCATGTGTGTCAAGCACTTTGGGATCCTCCAGTGCTAGAGAAGGGCTTTTTTAAACACAGGAAGGAAAACCTTCCCCATAAAAAAGGCAAGCTTCCACCAGGGGGAAAATTGCTGAACATTCACGATATTGGAGGAGGTGGAAGAACAGAAGAATATAGCTATGTACAGAGAAGGGAGAGATACAGGTTTGTCCTACATGCATTTTCCTACATGGAGCAGAAAGACACAGCTTCAGCTCTGCACGGCTGTGGGCCCTGCTGGTGTGTCAGCATCCAGAATTCTACATCCTCATTATCTCCCTGCACCAGCAACTTCCCCTCTCGCTGCATTTTACACCCAGCAGCATCCCCTTCAGAGAAATGTTTGATTGCCAACATTTTATTTTCTGCCTTGATCTTAGCCAAGCTTAGACTGGATCCCAACCTGGTCAGCAGCAAAAAGCAACAGCACAAGCAGTTTGCAAAAGACAGACCCCCAAAATACCTGTGCTGCCAAACAAACAGACCTACTTAGTTTTCTTGCTAGCTACCGATGGTCAGGGTACGCTGGTTCCTTTAATTACTTCTTTAATACAGCAAGGGGGAGAGGGAGGTGGGTGAACGTGCGTTCAGCAAACAAACCACATTGCACTGAGCGTTTCCATTCCCTTTGCTAGAAAATCAATTTGAAATTTGGGGGTGTCGGGGGGTTGTTTGGTTGGGGGGGGAATACTGGATGAGCTGCTGCCCTTTGCAAAGAGAATATTTTGTGTGCTTCTAGGTGGTGAGGTGAGCATGTTGCTGCAAGGCAGAGGGATGAGAAGAGAAATGGTATTTTTAAAAGCATTTATACACAGAAATTCATTACTGATAGCTCCATGCGCATCCAGCCCAGGGGAGCAGCCATGCTCCCGCTGCGTCTCAGGCACCTTGAAATATTCATGATGGTGGCAGAGCTTTTTCCTGTCCTTACTTCTTTTGTATATATAAATTTTTTTTTTTTTTTATTGCACAGGATTCCAAGCCAGTGCTCCTGCCCAATAGGCTGAAAACAGCTGTCTGCCTTCCCCCGCTGCTGACAGTGGGCTGAGGGGATGTCTTCTCCCGGCAAATGAAGAAGTCAGAGAGCTTTCAACGCGGAGAATTAAAGCAGCCCCCTGTGGCCCAAGGAAAAACAAAAAGCAAATGTAAGCCTGGCACGTTTCCTGGATATGTGTTTATTTGACAGTCCCGCATAGACTCCTTCACTAGGAAAGGGCTTTTTAGGGCTTTTTATACAAAGGAAAAAGAGAGGGAGGGGGAGCAAAAAGAACCCAGACTCTTATTTTTTATTACAGTATTAGGGTACAGCTGTCCAAAGTGGGGTGGCCACTTGCGTTTAGCCTCTGCTGACAGCTCCTTCCTCAACTACTAGGGCAGTGGTTCTCAGACCCATTTTAATGGTGTCGCCAGGGCTGGCTTTAGACTTGCTGGGGCCCGGGGCTGAAGCCCAAGCCCTACCACGCAGGGCTGAAGCCAAAGCCCAAGCCCCGCCACCCAGGGCCGAAGCCAAAGCCTGAAGGCTTCAGCTCTGGGTGGCAGGGCTCAGGTTTCAGGCCCCCCCACCAGGGTGGCGGGACTCAGGCGGGCTTTAGCTCTAGTCCCCCATCGTCGGGTCGTGTAGTAATTTTTGTTGTCGGAAGGGGGGTGCAGTGCAATTAAGTTTGCTCCCTACACTAGGGGTTCCTCTTTTGGTCCTGTCTACAATTCCAATGGGGCTGGGGCATAGCATGGCTCCCCAACAACAGGGCTCAGCAGGAGGTAGCAGGTTCTAGTGGGAACAGCACTAGACCCAGATCCAGGACAACTAGGTTCTCTTCCCAATTCTGCCAATAACCTCCCCTGTGAAATGGGCAAGTTGCTTCTCCTCTCTGTATTTTTGTTTCAATGAGTGTAAGTTCTTTGGAGCAAGAGCTGTCTCCTCCCGTGTTGTGTTTGTACAGCCCCTAGCACAATGGAGTGTCCATTGTGGTTGGGGCCACAGTGCACTACCATGTCACTAACTGTAACTGGCTTTGCCTGTGTAGACTGTTGTAAAGTGGTTTGATGCTATGTTAAAGAAACCCTGGTGCAACCGGGAAAAGTCACCGCTGTACAGCTTTGTCCAGTCTCACAGCATCTTCCCGTCCCATCGATGGAGCACCGTTTGGTGCTATCTTCACTGACAAACCCAAATCATGTTCTAATGTAGCTGGGTAGCACAATAGAACCTTTGCCTCCCCTCCCTTCCTGCAATGATATGGAACCTCCAAAAATCTGGATGGCCAATAGCCCTGCAGATAGGCATTTGGCAAGAACAGAATGTCTTGTGAGATTTCCAGTGCTCCCACTACCAGCCTCAGTTGGGATATTGTGAGAACAGGATCCCGCAATATTTTACTATTCTTGCTTCTGGTGTGGAATGGAAATCAGAAGTGATAACAAGCATCAATCCAACCTTGTTTACAGTTCGGGCTGAGTTAGATTCTAGACATGGACAGAATTTCTGAATGGTTCATTCCACTCAGGCCCCTGGGCAGCTGCATGAATCCTCAGGGGGCCTTCCCATCCCTGAGCATAAGGTGATCCATAGTATTTGTGCACCTTGCCCTCCAGTGAGGTGAAAGCTGAAGTCATACCCTGGTTCTGAGGGCTGGTACAAGGCCTTTTGCACCACTTAATGTTGCACTGGCCGGTCAACCAGCTGAGCAACCGTGCAGCAGTGCCTATGTGTAGAGCTGGTCTCCACAGCAGACTGTTTGGTCCTGGTGTGGAAGGAAAATTTGGAGGCCAAAAAATCAAGCCTGTATGAAAAATCAAATTGCAGAAAAATCACACCTGTTCTATCACTTCCACGAAGTTCCTGTGTCCCCAGCCGGCAGAGTCCAGTACTAGAGTGAGAGACAGGGATCCTGAACTCTAATTCCAGCTCTGCTATGGAGGCCCACATTGTAAAGAGCGTATACATAAAAATGGCCATGCAGGGTGAGACCAAAGGTCCATCTAGCCCCAGTATCCTGTCTTCTGACAGTAGCCAATGCCAGGTGCGTCAGAGGGAATGACAGTACAGGCAATCACTGAGTGATCCATTTCCAGTTGTCCACTTCCAGCTTCTGGCAATTAGAGACTAAGAACATCCAGAACATAGGGTTGCATCCCTGCCCATCTTGGCTAACAGCCATTGATGGACCTGTCCTCCATTAACTTATCTAATTCTTTCAAAACCCAGTTATAGTTTTGGCCTTAATGACATCCCTGGCAATGAGTATGTTGTCTGAGGAAATACTTCCTTTTGGTACAAAAGGAAATACTTCCTTTTGTTTTAAACCTGCTGCCTATTCATTTCATTGGGTGACCTCTGATTCTTGTGTTATGCGAAGGGGTAAATAACACTTTCTCCACACCAGTCACGACTTTATAGACCTCTATCATATCCCATCTGAGTCCTCTCTTTTCCAAGCTGAACCGTCCCCGTCCTTTTAATCTCTCCTCATACAGAAGCTGTTCCATACCCTTAATCATTTTTGTTGCCTGCTCTGTACTTATTACAATTCTAATATATCCTTTCTGAGATGGGGTGACCAGACTTGCACCCAGCACTTCAGGGGTGGGTGTACCATGGATTCATATAGTGGCAGTGTGGTATTTTCTGTCTTATTTCTGATATACAAGACCCTTGTTGCGTGTATGTGCAAACTGGTGTGGTGGCTCTGCAAAGCAGGGCACTGCAACTCCCATCAGCCCCTTCCCCATTCTACATCCACTTCCTACTGGGTAAACAGGGATTACGTTTCCCTCCAGCCCCCTCCCAATTACACTTCCCAGTCCTTGTGGTCAGGTATGGGGAAAGATCCTGAACCAGGAAGTGCCCAGGGCTCTGTTTGGGAGTGGGGGCCGCATGGAGAGCGGGGGCCGCAGGGAGCTGGAGAGACGCCCCAGAACTGTGGCCAAAGCTGCAGGTAGAACAGACTGTGACGGCTGGACACCACAGCTGGGTGCAGCTCTGGGTGGGATTTATGGGGGAGCAGCAGCGGTTGGGCTGGGAGCCAGTGCAAAGGGGCCCCAGTGAGAGACGCTAACTGAGCCTGGCTTGGAAACCCATAAATGCTTATTTGCTTGAACAAAGACTGGACTAGAGAGAGCACCCCAGGCACTAGGCCTGCAGAGCCCTGACTCTCCATGGGTCTGTCCTAAGAACCCACACAGGGATGGCTATTGCTCACCTTGAATTGCAACGGTTTAAGCCGCTGTACCTACCATGTTTGCGACCTTTCCCTTTCCTACCAGCCTCAATCCCTTGCCCTGAGCCATGTGTTTGAGTGGTTACTGGGACCCACCAGGGCTAGTGCCTACAAAGCCTAGCTGCTAAAGCACCTGTTACGCTTGCCTCCAAGATGTAGTACACTGGGCATGCTACTGGCACCCTTGGGTCTGGGGTACAGAGGAACCCCAATAATTACACTGGGATTTATGCACACAAATCCTTTTGTGGGGGTGAAGCCCAAACATGCATGTACACGTCAGCTGCTTTGTGTGTGTAATTCCGATGCACAGAAATGTTGCCGGCACCCAGTGCCAGAGGCAAGCAACAGCAGGGGTTCGTTGCCCGGTGTGCGTCACCCAATAATCAGAACGGGGTGGAGAAGCAGAAAGATTTATTTGGAGCTCCAAATAGGGTGCAGGGAGACTGAGCTGTCTCAAATTCTGCCCCAGTGTAGCAGATTCCAGTATACATTTTATACCTTTTCCTACTTCACTACACAAGCTTATGCAACCAATTACCTGTTGCCCCGTACAATACCATAGCCAATCAGCTAAAGCAGCCAGTTGTGTTTTTCCTCAGTAGCATTGCCCGAGCCTTGCCTTATTTGGTCCTATTTGTTACTAGTTTTTGCTAAACATTTCTGCCTTATCTATCTGTTTCCCAGGCCGAAGCTGGCCTTGGCTGGCGAGCCGTGTGCAAACCTGTCTGTTTGTGTGCTAGCTTCCTCAGTGTTATGCAGGATCACAGAGGGTTCAAGAAGCGAAGGGACCTTGGTTTATCCGGGCCTAGAACAGGAGGGCTTCGTCGACACTCGTGGACTTCCACCCTCCCGAGTTACCTGGTGTAGTGCCCAGTGTCCCCAACAACTCCCTCCTTTGAGAATACTCAACAAGCTTGCAACTGAGTCTGCTCATATTCCCTGGACAATAAGTGATTCGGCGCTGAGGCGTTAGAATCCTCAACAAGAGGATATAATGGGGAGCGGGAGGCACATATCTTGTATATGAGTGCTTTACAACAGGCAAGCAAGAGGAGAATGATAATACACAACACGGCACCTGTGACCAGGAGACAAACAATGCCTCCCCCCGGGTCAGGCAGACATCCCCAGAGTGAGGCAAAGATAGCGGGCTTTCCGCTGGTTAAGAGCCTGTTCGGCTGACAGGATGTGCTTGTTAATATCCTATGTATTTTCTGGGACATACGTACAGCATTCATCCCCAATCAGGGCACACACCCCACCCTGTGCAGCCAAAAGATAATCTAGGGCTTGGCGGTTTTGCAGGGATAACAACCAGAGTTGATACAGTTCCGTGTTGCGGCTCCTCTCTATGGCCAAGGTATCACTGGCGAACTTGGTGAGGAATACAGAGAACTGGCGATAGAGCTTGGCCAATCTACCCACCCCGTATGCTGGGAGGAGGATCATACCGAATCTATCTTCCTCACTAATGGGTTCGGGGGTGGCATACAGGGACTGCTAATGCCGGGAACGGCCTGATGGGAGGTGGGCCGCGTTTGCAACCAAGTGGCGTTTGCTTTTATCCACCCGTCACAGAGGTCTGACCAGTTGTGGGGGGTTGCCCTCCAAGGGAAGCTGGCTGCATGGTCGGGGATCTGGGAACATATCCAGCAGTGGGACAGATTAAATTCCCGGGCAAAGGCAATTTTGAGGGCCTCATAGGTATTTACATTCAAATTAATGGTCCCCATCCATCCCTTCTTCAGAGAAAGAGAGACGGGGAATACCAGGCAAATGGCACCCACTATGAGGGACCTCATGGTGTATATGCCCTTGTAGCCCCGCCCCTCTGTGCTTATGTCTTTTTAAGCAATAA